TCACAGAGCAGCGCGTTATGCAAGTCAGGCAACACAACACCAGAACTGCGTAACGTCACGGTCCATGTCTATTGTATTAAACTTACGCTAATTCTAGTGGTAGGGCTAGTCTGATGAGACACATGATCTCGTTCCAGGTGCTCCTTTTAAGTTAATGAGGTCTAATGCCTCTGAAAGAGCCACCTGCATATGTAGCGTTATTTGTTTGGAGGGAGCCCTGATTTGTGGTATTTGTGGGCTGCGGGTGTCAATGGCCAGGCTGTGAAACTGGACACTCCTCTCTCTTGACTCGGTGAAATATTCATCGCTCACCAAATCCTCCGCCGAGCCCCTGCCTCCCGTCACACATGCACATCCGGGCCACGGCTCGACCTTTCCGATGGAATTCCACACGACTTCAACCTGAAACCTGCTCCAAAGCGCTTGCAAATCCACCCATTCTTGCTCACCTCCTGATCTTGTGCACACAATAGAAGTACAGGAGCCAGATCTGTAGGTGTGAAGCCCTGTTGTTCGGCACCTGTCCTCCCTGCCGAGGGTTGGCTCATCGCTGGGGCGAACCAGGGACTCGTGCCATGCAATTAATTACTCAAGCGAAGCTCATCTCTCCGCCCTGGAAAGCCGGGGTAAATGCGGACACTCTTGTAAAAGCTCCCTGTATTAGATGATGTCAAGCAGGAAAGGAGATTGTCCTGTTCAAGAGAAGCGGAGGCTGTGTTTTATTGTTCAGGGCCGGGTCTAGAGTGCTCACAGGTGAAAGCAATGTGTGAAAAATGCTCCCTACCTGGTTTTCTGTTTGCTTGAGAGAGAAATAGAATCTGATACAAGACTGACAACAGATGTGAATCTCAAAAGAATGCAAATGGTGACACTGTAAGCATGAAAGAGCCTGTGGTGACACTGACATCAGAAAACATCTGAACAACTCTTGCTCCGTGTTGAACATGATGGGTAAGATTAACATTAAGGTTGAGAAAATTGGCTTTCAGGCCAGATAGATGAGACATATGGCCATGTTGATGTCACGGACAAGATCTTGCTGGTATCTGGAGTGAATATGCACAGCTGTGGACCGTTATGGTGCCAGATGCCCTGAATCAAGAGCCGTCCCTTTCCTGTGTGCATTTACTGCGGTACACAGCTGCCCTCTAGTGGAGAGCTCAGCTCAGTGCTCATATCACCATTTGGGTTTTATTCTGATTAATCATGCAGTCAGCATATCATAAAGACTTGTGGGTGGACTGTTTTGACACGAGTCAGTAAACAACCACCCAGAAACACAGCAGTGTGTTTTAATGTCTGCTTTTAAATTTGCATCGTGATATTTTGAGCATTGTTTTGCTTCGTAATATTACCTCTTATGCATGTGTTTTGCATATGCATATGACATTGGCTGAGATATGAATTTGCACGCAAAAAATCCTCGACAGAATATATGAAAGACTCCCTGTTTGTGGCAGACGCTTCCAGTTTTCTGCACTCATACCTGATGACCGTAATCAGATCATGTCTGCTTTTATACACGTGTCACATGTCTTTAACCCTACTCGCATTTCCAGCAGGACTAGATTCCAGACCGTGAGTTCTGTGTGCTCGACTGTCTTCCTGTTAGACATCAAACCTGTGTGACTGCTGGATGTAGGAATGTGCATGGAAAACAGACATGGAACCAGAAGCAATGAATCATGATTAATTCAGCAAGTGCAATACACGTTCAAATCAAGAAGTAAACATGCAACATATTGGCATCAAGTAATTTACTATTTTAAATTGTTGCACTCATTTTTTTATTGTTGCACTACTTGTTTTATAGTATAATATACAATATGCAGTAAACTGTGCAGTACTGGTAGCATGTCTGTTTCTCAGCTCTTTAATGTTTTATTTTGGTGCTGTGGTATCTGCTGTCTGCTCTGTAGATGTGTGACGTGTTCTGCTCTTTGTTTCCTGTAGATGTCTCAGTCAAACGGACTGCCAAAGCATCCTATCCTAGGGTGAGTATTAATGGGTCATGTTTGTTGTCTGTCCTCAATGCTTGTGATGTGACTGATCAACTAGTGAATTGGAATCTAATTAGTTAGAAGTTACGGTTTTTAACGCAATTAAAGCGGCACTGTGCAGAGCGATACTTTGATGTCACACACCAATCGGTCTGCACATCGCCACTTTACGTCAAATGGTGATCAACATGATCGTGACGTAGCCTATAGAATGCAGTTATATGCGCCTAAAGTTCAAGAGATTGGGGCGAAAATGTCCCTGTATGAGTTTTTGTCTCATATTTATATCCTATGATACAGTTAAGCAATATCACACGAGTGCTGTTTTTGTCCCGAATAGCACAAGTGCAAATGTGACAATTTTATACAACAGTTCGATGACTAAGAACTGTTATATTTTAGACACAGTATTGTCTGCTTCTGTTCAGTTTTGCCAATGCAAATATTACCTGTTAAAGCCACAGCAGAACTGTTGAGCGTCTCCAAGCAGCACACAATTCCTGAATGAATCTGCGTTTTGAACTAATAGTATGAACCAATGATTCAATGGCCCATTCATAAAGAGAAGCATTGATTTCATTCTGTTTGAAGAATCGAATGAATGAATGACTTGCACATTAAGACATTTACCCTCATCTACTGGCTGTTTTAGTTTCTTATGTAGAGTATCATTGCATTAAAAATAATTTCATATTTACATATTAATAAAAAACTAATTGAAGGGGGATAGTTCACCCAAAAATTTAAAAAATTTTTTTTTTATATCTATTTCATGCATTTCTCATGCAACCCAATAATGACTGTAAATTATCTTTTGTAGGTCATTTCTCAGCCAAATTTGATGTGCAATTAATATGTGATTAATTGCCACATCATGTAAAAATTGTAATCTATTGACAGCCCTAATTGTAACACATACAACCACTCAGAACACCCTAGCAGCATACTGCATTGTTAGACAGAAGTTTTGCACAGCCAAGCACCATTCACAGTTCCTGAAAAACGTGTACAAATCTGGATGTTACAATTCTTTTAATCCGGTCTGAAATACTGCGTGTAAGCAGTCTCTGTATATGAGCAGCTGGAGCAACAGTATGTTGTGTCTGTAGGGGAGGGAATCCATTCGCTACGGTCAAACTTCGGCCCACAGTCACCAATGACAGATCAGCCCCCGTCATCTGATCAACACCAGAGACCCGCCGCCGAGGATGCTGGGCTTATGCACACACACACACCACATACTGTTCAACCACTATTTATGTCAGTCCCCTTCAAACCTTCATCTCTCTCTATGCATATATATAATGTGTGTATGTAGAGAGGGAATTAATATATATGCATTTAGTTGTAAGAACAAGTAACCAGATGCTTAACTTTCAAAGTATTCTGTAAATACATGAGAGAAGATGGGTGTGATTAAGATGAAGTTTTTTTTAAATCACTGTGAAGATATTTTGTAACATGTACACTAGATGGGAACTTGCATTAGCAGAGAAGTCCTGATGATAGTGATGAAACACTGATGAAAAATTATACTTACTGTAGATGCTGTCTGAACTGGCCACTAGTCCTTAACACACTTGACCTGGTAGCTAGTGGAACGAGCCGAGTGTGACGTTCATAGATTGGAAAGCAGAGCCATGTCTATGTACGCATGTTTTCCAGAGTTAGCAGGCTAACTCACTCAGCTGGCCTTTAGTCGGCCAAGTCGAGCTCCAGTTTAACCCGGAGACGTCCAGTGTGCAGGCAACACCGTCATCTACAGAAGAGCGTTTAGCTGCTCATCAATGCTTTTAGAACAAGGGAGCTTTGCTTTTATCAGCGTAGTCTCAACACTGAATAATGATCCGTTGTCGGTCAGTGGATAGTGATTTATTTATCTTCTGCTTGGGGGAAACTATTCATTTGGCTTTGATTGTATCAATGCACTTTTCTGTTGATGTTGGCCTGAGATCTTGTAGATCACTGCTGTATGACAATAAAATATTTTGTTTCTAAATGTGTGCTTCTGTTAAAATATGAGAGGTATGTTGCAACTCCAGAAGAAAGAATGAATGAGTATGAATCATTTAAAGTCTGTAAGAAATGCTTCTGTACTTGGTTTTTCCAGTGGTTCCTGGACGGGTCCTCCAGTTAACTCAAAAATGAAAATGTACTCACTATCCAAGATGTAGATGAGTTTGTTTCTTCATCAGATTTGGGGAAATGGAGCATTGCATCACTTGCTCAGCAATGGATGCTCTGCAGTGAATGGGTGCCGTGAGAACGAGAGTCCAAACAGCTGAAACAAATCCATCAAGATGTTTTTAACTTAACGTTTCGTCTAGCTAAAATTCAAGTCTTCTATCCATAATATTGCTTTCTCCTGGCACCCATTCACTGCAGAGTATCCATAGGTGAGCAAGTGCTACATTTCTCCAAATCTGTTCTGATGGATGAACAAACTCATCTACATCTTGGATGGCCGGAGGATGACTAAATTTTCATTTTTGTTTGAACTGTTCCTTTAAGTCAGACGTTGATGTGCAGTGCTGTGGAGGCTCCAGAAATGCTTTTGAAAAGCGTTGTTGTAGACTAACACTAGATAACCCTCAAACTCTGACATGTATATAATTTACTTTTTTTAATGAAGCATTGTTTGAGGTGATTTTAGAATTTAGCAAAAAATAAAAAACATACTACAAAAAATTCACCGGTTATAATTTATACAAGAATATATGCATTGAAAATTCATTAGGCTACATGTAGAATTGTGATTTTAACTTTTTTTCTTTCTTGCTTGTGTCTCTAATTAATGTTATAAATGTATAATCCATTTTAATAATTGCAAACGTGTTCAGAAATAGATATTTGAAATGGAAATCTTTCGTAACATAAATATTTACTGTCACTTTGGATCAAGTGAAAAATAAAAAAAAATCTTTATAGATCAGGTCAGAGATGAGGAAGTTCGAGGTAAGTTTCGCTGATGAGAAAGTTCAAAATGCTGTTCTATTTCTAGGACGTCCCATATAATCAACAAACACAAACGGCAACACTTGTAGAATTTATTTACAATTTCTCTTAATGTAGAAAAGTTCTAACCGATCATAATAGCGTGTCTAGTGTATGGTACGAGTACATCATGAATGAAATCACACCGAGACTGATTGTCAATCACTGGAAGAAAACGATAAGAGAAACAAAAAGTAACTACGTGTCTTTGGGTGACGTATCACATTGTCTAGATGCCAGCTTCCCTTGTTTATTGCAGGTTTCAGTTCAACCTGGATATGGCCAATGTCCATATTTACCCTCTAAGACGCTTTCAGAAAACCCAGCACATATAACACAGATCATCAGTGCAGTGATGAAAACATGGCCCCCAAAATAACAGACTATCGAGAAAGAACGTGGTCTGAACTTGATTCAGAAATACAAGATATACAAATAACAGTTTTTTAAATCAAGCACAAAAAAAAATTAACACAGAAAATGCTTTTTGATCTTGACTAAGATGCGACTGATTAGGGAGCATATTATAGTCAACAAAAACAAAATGAACGACAGTGATGCTCATTTTCACGTTTCATTTACACACACACAATGTTACTCGAAGTGAGTGGTGTGGGATTTACCCTCAGTGAGTCCCGGCTCGTTTAGTTTATGCTTTCTCTGCCATCATAAAGGCACTAGTGATTAGATGACTGGAGACTGGCTTTAAGATTTTATATAAAGAACAACAAAATCAGCAAATAGCGCTTGCGAGGCATGTAAAAACATGGACAGCCCATCACATGCACCATCTTATATTAATCAAAGAGTTTGTGGCTGGTTACTAACTTAACGTTACGTAAGCGACGTTTGGCATTATCATGTGCAGTGATTACAGAGGATCTATGCTGATGCTTAAAACTGAATTAAAAAGACGACGGCAGGGTTTTGGTCCCTCTAGCCGAATGTGGCTCCACAGTTTGGACATCTCCTCTGACGCAGGGCCAGGCAGAAGAGAATTCCCAGAGGAAAGAAGAATATGGCACACAAGATTCCCAGACAGGTGAAATCATCCTCCAGCACGCCGACCCTGGACACAGAACAGCACCACGCTCAGATCCCATTATTCTGAAATATTATTACAATTTAAAACAACTGTTTTCTGTTTAAATATATTGTGAGTTGTAATGTATTCCTGTGATCAAAGCTGAATTTTCAGCATCAGTACTCCAGTCTTCAGTGTCGCATGATCTTTCAGAAATCATTCTGATATTTATATACCAATTGCAATAATATTTCACAATATTGATTACATAAATGCATCCTTGGGGAACATTAGAGACTTATATGTGACCCTGGACCACAAAACCAGTCATAAGGGTAAATTTTTCGAAATTGAGATTTATACATCATCTGAAAGCTGAATAAATAAGCTTCCATTGATGTATGGTTTGTTAGGATCGGACAATATTTGGCTGAGATACAACTATTTGAAAATCTGGAATCTGAGGGTGCAAAAAAATCAAAATACTGAGAAAATCATCTTTAAAGTTGTCCAAATGAAGTTCTTAGCAAT